GTGGGGTACGCAGAGGTGCTCGGGGATAAAAGGCGTGATGTTATGTTAGTATGTATAACTTGTTTAGTAATAAAATCTTAGGTCAAGACATGCTGTACCGTGCTGGTGAGCGCCAGCAGTTGGAATATATTCTAGTCTTAGATCTATAATCCTGTTTAGTTTACAACCCTTGGTCCTTAGAGGCTATCCTACCTGTATAGTGTAGGCAATATGACGCAGTAGCAACAGCATCACAGGCGAGGCTAGGAGAACCAGTGCGAGGATGGCCACACCGATCGCCAGCGTACGACGGGCCACCCAAACCACCTGCCGACCTGAGGACCTGCAGCCATATTTAGGGTCATCATTACAAAATTTTTGATCTGCAGCCAACTGGCTGCCAGCCATCGCGCAAGGTGTATCAGATTCGATTCCCGCATGGAGCAACTCTTTGTGTGATCCACAAATTGTTGTTTTGGTCTGGGTGTCATGTGTAAGTGAAATGTTAAGTTTGTAAAATCACCCACTTTAAAAAAAATGATAAGAATTTCTACTGCTGAACCTAAGTAAGTATACGTAATTAGATCATGATGGGTAGCGACCTGTATCCAGCAGCTTCCTGCGACCTTTATCAGGTCATCTATCTTACTTAGCTTATTTTTAAGATAAGAACTAATATTCTGTTTTATCACTGCTTGTTAACACGGTTTGAATAATTTGGATTCGAATGTAACTGTAACTTTGTTTATATCTGGTTGCCTCAACCGATTGCGTGGTCGCTAAAATGACACAACACAGTATTGGTGCAGTGGCTAGACAACGAATCACGGGTTTGATTTGACCGGAATTATTACACAAATGGTCGTTTTATAATCTGTGTATTTTATTTTACATAAAAAGTAAAGTTGTATAAAATAAAACTTACCCCACTATAACCCATAGGTCCTTTTGAACTACCCTCATCTTGTCCAGATAGGCATACCAGTCGACATCTGTATACAAATATCTGCTGATGTTAGCTGCTGTAGGTTCGATTCTCGGCTGATTCACTATAGACTTCTTTAATTCTTCGAAACTGGAAGTGAAACAAATATTACAATTTATATTAGTATGAATGTAATTGGACGTTTTTTATCATACTTCCACGAGGAACGATTACGAAATCAGGAGACTAACATTAGCTATCGAGCCCTAAGTCGTTATGTTTATTAGCTGGCAGTCCAAGGTTTTTGTAAGCCAATAAACGAGCAGACGGATCGCTTGATGATAAGCAGTCGGCGCCGCCCATGGACACCCAAAGTAGCGGAAGTGTTACAAATACATTACTGTTCTTCTGTGGATTAGGCATTTAAGGTTTATTGGTTTTCGGGGATTGGGCAGATTGGGGAGGGGGTAATTGAGCCTCCGATAACCTCACTCATACGATGAAGCACAACGCAAGCGTTGTTTCACGTGGGTTTTCTGTGAGGCCGTGGTACCACCCCGGTCGAGCCGATCCATTCGTGCCGAAGCATGACTCTCTCACACTTGAAGGTGGTTCCATCATCCACCTTCCAAATTCCAACATAGACCAGCTCGATAGTACCATAATAATTTCATTGTCATCTTTCTAATCTTTCTAATACATACGATTGCTAAGTTTCTTGATAGTACAAGTATTAGAAGTGCTCAGATTCCTAGACTTTATTACATAGTTGTTACTATGAGATTCATTTATTGAAATTGGCGTCTTCGGAGAATTAAATGCGTGTCAAAGAAACACATTCGCAATCTGCATAATCTATTATGTATTAAGTATACACGTTAGTACATTATCGGCGCCGGCGCTGGAGCCGGTTACTTAGAAATAACGGTAAGTCCAGTTAACCTAGGCATTGGTCGTTACTTAGTGTTTATTTTTGCAATGACCCAGTCATGTCATTCAATTAAAGAAAAGATACAGAATAGAGTTTTTAAGTATAAAAAGCAGTAGGATGATTCACGGTGCAAGTTAAAAAGAATAAATTATTTATTTATTTGATAACTTAAATTGTGATAACTGACTAATAATAATAGTAAATACTTTATTGCATTCCAGATTGTATTTTACAACAGTTGGCATTGTTACGAGGTACAGAAACAATTATGGCCCAGTCGGGCACAGCAAAAGTAGTTTTTTTTATAGAGGAGAGGATGAAGAGCATTTTTCTAAAATTAAAAATATTGTATACAATATTTCAATTTCAAGTACAGTTATGGGTATTCAATACATTTATGTTCATTTGTCTATATTTATCATAATATATATTTATTTATGTTCGTTACATTCATTTATGTCAATAATATTTATTTATATTAATTATATTGGTTTACATTCTAATCTAGCCTATGTGTTATCTATATCTACTCTTGTCGGAAATTTCATCCCGATCCTTTCAGCCGTTTTGACATGATTAAGTAACCAATACACACAAACTAACTCACTAACTTTTACATTCATAATATTACGTTGACGTTCAAAAGTGCCTTCCTGGGCCTCTAGCCAAACGCCACTTTAGCGCTTGCCTACAGAGAGAGTAGAAATCAAAATGTATGGGGATGACACTGACAAGTATCAAAATATACGTCAATTCCATATAATTTGGTTTTCTATTCTACATGTAGACAAGCGCTAAGTGGCATTTGGCTACAGCTGCTGGTCTAATTGAAATAAATGATTTTGACATTTATTGGGACAGTGCATTTGTCAGATACGTGGAATTATCCAATACTATTTCCGTTGATTTGTACTATCCCCGACGATAAAATCATCGAAGTACTTCTCCCGCCTGGGTGAGGAAGGCGGGAGGGAGTGTCAGACTCTTACTGAAACAAACCACCCCGTTCCTACTCCTACACTTCGAGCCGGAGCCCCGGTAACCCTTTAAGTTCTCCGCGGCTTCGTATCGGCATCAGCCCTATTGGACTCCATTTGTAGTGGTACGATTAGTAATCTTTTGGTAATCCAATATATTCAACCTTTAGTATAACTAGAGGGATTATAATCAGGAATAATATTATAAAGGCTAGTTTTTATCCCTGTACAGCAGGCAGAATTTAGAAACCAAATAAGCTTTCTCTGGTTAAAATACAATAGTGTATTATAGATTATTTGTAATAAAATAGACGTTGGAAGTGTATAAAAGCTACTCAAGCGACAAATTGGCTCTTGTCTTACCGTATTTGAATATATTCAGACCATATGCAGAACGCTCTAGAACTCTCGAGAATTGCAATTCAAGATTTCAGTTGGTAGAGGGAATCATAATTGGGATTTTCTATTTCAGAGTCCGCAAGCAAACACAATTATTGTCAATTATTTTATAAGATTAATGAATTATAATAAAATTATGATTTACATATTTAAGTTGTGTATGAAACTGCTTTATATTTTTTCCTCGTTGTGGCAGTATAAAATGTATAGTAATATTAGTTATTACAGAATATACGATAGGTACTTACAATATCAAAACTTCATTCAACTCGTCGACTTGTTTAACATTTTTTTCTGTCTCCAAATATTGTATTGTGGACCTTAAGCTGTCTTTCCCAGAGTCTAAATGCGTTTGTATGTTACTTATGGCTATGGGATCCAGCTCTTCTATGTGTATGTAGTAGGAATGTGACGTCAGAGCTAAAGATAACTCTTCTCTGGACCTCAGAAGGTCGGCGCAAGCTGATAACTGTCTGAAAAAAAAAATGTTAGGAAATATAGGTAACTAGTCTATTTACACAGATAAATCTAGATTCTTGTATTTCTAGTTCGAAATCGAATCGAAATTATTTCTATTTTTTTCTGCAATAGCAATGGCAGTTATAGCGTTAGCCACACTTTGGAAGTTTCGTTTAACTCGTCGAGTACCGGTTTTGTAGACACAATTATAGAACAATAGGTTGCGGTCACCGGTGACCGCTTGGTGTTTGACAGTTTAAAACATATTATCTATAGTTTGTTTGCTTATTCAAAATCTGTGGATACAGAAAGAATCTATTGTTGACTTTATTTAACATAACATCACGCCTTTTTATCCCCGAAGGGGTAGGCAGAGGTGCACATATCGGCACTTAATGCCACTGTACAATGTAACACCCACTTTTCACTATTTATGTTATAAGTCGCATACAATAGGGGGTGAGCCTATTGCCATATACCGGGCACATTTCCAGACTCCGTGCTACTACTGAGATACTTAAAAAACCCAGTAATACTTTGCCCGACCCGGGAATCGAACCTGAGACCCCTTGCCCGACAGTCGCACTTACGACCACTCGGCCAACGAGGCAGTCTTGTTATAACAAATTATACAAAGAAAATAAGTACATGCAAACAACATCAGAGGGAAGTCCAGAGAAGACACAATAATATCATAATACGTAACATGTTTAACGAATAACTGGAAATGAATAACATAATATTTTGCACATATTTATGGGAAATCGGTAGGTTCCCGCTAAGTTATAAAATTAATTCTGAGTAGTATCTAACAGGGAGTTTTCAATCGAATATTAAACCACATTATATTAGGAACATTAAAATTTCATTTTGCAGTCGGAAATTATATGTTTACGCTGGTCATGTTAACTATATATCATACTAGCTTCTGCCCGCGACCTCGTACGCGCAATCGCGATATTTCCCGTTCTTGTTCTTGATTTTCGGTAAAAAATAAAAAAAAATATTGGGTAAAAAGTATCCTATGTCCGTCTCCTGGTGCTAAGCTACGTCCCCACCAATTTTCATCCAAATCAATTTAGTCATTCTTGAGTTATAAATAGTGTAACTAAGATTATAATAGTGTGGGGTTCAAGTCCACTAGTGACTAATTACGAATGTATTGAAATAATTGACTGCCTCGTTGGCCGAGTTGTCGCAAGCGCGACTGCCTGGCAAGGGGTCTCGAGTTCGGTTCACGGGTCGAGCAAAGTAATACTGGGTTTTTAAATAATTCTCAGTAGTAGCACGGAGTCTGGAATTGTGCCCAGTATATGGAAATAGGCTCACCCCCTATTACATGGAAGTCAATAACATTAAAATGGTGAAAAGTGGGTGTTACATTGTACAGTGGCATAATGTACCTTCGGGAATAAAAGGCGTGATGTTATGTTACGTTGAAATAGTGGAAAATAAAATAACATATGTATGTTTCGCATGTACCAACATACCTAAGGTGCTGTTATGTTGAGTCATAATGACTTGCGGTCTTCTTGTAATTTCTTATTGCTCAAGACGTTAATGCCTTACTTTGTTATTCATTACCTAATAGGACCTTTCTTATGACTCAACATAAATTTCAATTGAATGATTAGTTATATTTTCCTTTTCGTTTTCTTTACAGGTGATATCATACTATTCACGTTCTTAGAACTGAATTAAATACTTCTGGAAACCTGTAAATGAGGAGCCGGCTCGATCGGAGCGCTATACCACGGTCTTACAGAAAACCGACATGAAACGACGCTTGCGTTGTGTTTCGTCGTGTGAGTGAGGTCACCGGAGGCCTAATTAATCCCCCCCCCC